AGCCGAAAGATAGAAATGTTGCAGGACCTAAAACACTACAAACAAGACATGAAAGAGAAACAGCTGGGATAGGTATATAGTACATGGAAGCTGGAGACTCTCTTATAAAAGTTCTTAAGTCATTACTAAGTGTGAGATCCTACATCAATTCACAGTTTGTTACTTGTATCAACTATGTTAGTGTTGCTCTGTAGACTGAAAATTGATTTTATTCACAGTCTGATAGCCTATTTTATTATTAATGAACCACTGTAATTTTGCCCATTACCTATATCCTTATCTGGATGTGGGGCCATGTAAAACATTTGTATAACCTCATACTTATATCTGAGGAGGTGGACTTGATCCATGAAAGCTCATATTAAAATATTGCAGTTAGTTTTTAAGGTGTCACAATGTTTCTGTCTCTTTTTTGTTTTGTTATGTTTTCTTATCTGATATTCCTGTGATAAGAAATCATTATCACGTTGCCTATTTTATGTATCCTCACCTAGCCATATGTGGGAAATGTATAAATATAAATACAGCAGTCATGTATTTGCACTCCAGTGTTGGATGAAGTGAACTTTGATCCATAAAAGTTGACACTGAAAGAAAATGATTAGTCTTTCAAGTACTACTTTTTTTTCTTTTCCTTTTGCCAGCTAGCCAGATGTTTCCCATTCAGAGATCTTAGAACACCTCCTAAGAAAACTAAATTCCCCAAAGTTTTCTGGGAAAAGAGAATGCTGACAAAACCAAACATCTGAGAGAACCTCTGTCAAAAGAAGTTGGAGGGTCCCCAAAAGTAGATCCTATAGTTTTCATGTGGAAAGTCACAGGTTCAGTCAGTAGCATCAAAACACACACACACACGCGTGCACGCACGCACACACACACACACACACACACACCCCAACCACGTAGCAGGTGATGGAAGGATCTACCTGAGATCCTGGAAAGATAGCACTGGTCAGAGAAGACACAACACTAGGTAAGCGAAAGACATCATGCTGGCCTATTACACATCTCCACAGTAGGAGTTTTGGTCCAGGTGTATTTGGGCTCCAGCACTTTTCATGTGAGCGATTTGTCGTTGCACATGGCTTCCCTTCCAGCGTAAGTGGCATGTATTTTTTTTTTCTTCCCTGCCTGGGAAATGTCAAGGATCTGAAAGCTAATGTCTTCTGTCCTTCTTTCCCCATCTTCCCTCTGTGGTCCGTTATCAAGTCTCGCCCTTCACTTTTCCCGTGCGTCTTTCGACACAGTCTGGCCCTGCAATTTCCTCATTCTCTCTGCTAGGAGGTTGCACAAGAAAAAAATAAACCACACCCAGAGAGGTTTTTTGTTTTTTTGGACATTTCAAGGCCAAAGGTAGAAGGAAGTACATACAGTAATATGAGGATGAGTGGAGCAGAGTTTCTAAATGATGAATTCCCCATCTCATGTCTCCCATTCCTTTTGACTACAACTTCCATCATCCTTGACTTCTGGGCATTGCTGTCTGTGAGCTGAGGGAACTATAGTGTGCCATCGTCTGTGGATTACCAGGCTTGGGAAAAGCTGGCTAAAATAAGCAAGACAGATCTTGTTAACTTTATCACGTTGCAAATAATGTTTACTGACTAAGAAACAGTTTTTAGGTGGCTTTTTACCAGAGAGAAACAGAACAAAGGACCTCTTAAATGCAATGGGAACAGATCTACCGCTGATGGTTATTTGCAATAGCCAAACTGATTCTCCAAGTAGGGGCACAGTGTACCCCCAATACTTAGTGGTAGGGACATGGCTAGCTTCCTTATACTGAATCAAACCACTGATCGGTCTTACGCAAAATGGTGAACATTGACCAACAGTAAATCTCCAGGGTTTCAGGCAGGGTTTTTCCGTAGTCCATACAATGGAGATATGAACAATTGAACCAGCAGCCTTCTGTATGCAAAGTACGTGCTATCCTGCTGAGCTACAGCCCCTTCCCAACCGACAAAAGAAGCCCATCACCTCCATTCTTTGGTGATGTTGGGGGGGGCCTTGTTGAGACATCTGGTACACACGGAAGGTGGGATCAAAGCAGAGACAGGTAAATTGTGGCCCTCCAATATGGATAGCCTTAGCTAACATAGTCAATGGTGAGGGATCTTAAGAGCTGGAGTCCATCTACATCTAACACGCCACAGGTTGCCAGTTCTGAATTACTGTATAGGGCTTTCACTCTAAAATGTCCTTTTAATATATGCTCACCAATGGAGTGGGGTAATCTCTGTGCGATGCAATCCCGCTCTGCAGGGAATTCTGCATGAATAAGGCAGCCACATAGGCAAAGACCAGGAGCATGCTGAATCCATGGAAGAGGCCCATGCAAATAGCTCGGCCCACATAGTTGTGTTATGTCAGCTCCTTGCCAAACTACATGTGATTCCCCATTAAAAAGAACTGTGCATTTCTCAGTAGAAAAGCCTGCCCACTTATCTCACTCTCTCTGCCTGAAACCCTTGAGAGAGTCACATCCAGTCAGGGTAGACAATCCTGGACAAAAGCAGTACAGCTTGGGGGAAGGCAGCTTCCTATGATGATTCTTTCCAATCAGCCCCACACATGCCTGCCTCCTCCCCATCTCACATAGTTGGAGCTGGAAATGTACTTTTGCGGCAGCGATATAGTTGCACGACCAGACAAAATGTAGCAGCCACAGTTGAAGGAAGGGCGGTACTTTCAGTAATCAAGCATATGCTTTTCTGCAAGTGGTCTCAGGTTCGATCCCTGGCACCTCCAGGCAGGGCTGAGAAAGACTATCTAAATGCTACAGAGCCACAGACAGACCATGTGGACAACACATAGCTAGATAACCCAATGACCAGACTATGTATAAACCAGCTTGATATGCTTCCAAGTGCTGAGGCTGCTGCTATGGAAAGCAAAAACACTGGACAGGCCCATGTGGGATTTCTCGTTGTCGCTCAGGTGAGTAAACACAGCTTCATCACAATGCAGAACATGTAAAGTCTCTGTAAAAGCAACTGAAATTTAGTCCAAAGAACCTTGGGACTTTCCGGAGAGCAAGCCGTATAACATTCTCTGCCACTCCTCCTATCTCCCCATTCCCCTTGAGCTTAGCTATCATCACATAGTAAAAGAGGATTTTTGTTGCAAGCTACTCCTTCATAATGCAAAGTATTTTAGGGTATGCTGTAAGGGTGAAGAAGAATTAGTTGTAGGTTTGCCACATACCACAGAACCAAACAGCAGTGCAAAGAGATAAGGCATAGTTTTTGAGAGGCTGCAAGTGAACTGAAACGGACTTGACTTAATGTGATGGACACACCAATCTAAAAACAAGTAGTAATTCTTTTCTCCAAGTGCCATTTCTGGACAAATAGGTTTTGCAGGATTCTGAAATAATCTCAAGGCCAACAAAACCCCTTACTGCACTCAAATTGCAAAAAAAAATATTCACCTTCAGACCCTTTGAGCAGTATACAAAACAAATACATGCAATCATTTGTCTCTGGCTGAGGATAGCCATCTCACCACGTGGTTGCATGGACATACCATTAGCTCCCACTACTCATTACTCAGAATAACTTATTCAAGGCCATCAACAGTGTTATACAACTGGACAAGATTCCTTATCTCAGTTCTCCACATGCACACCAAGTGGACTAGCCACCACTGTACCACACTGGTTCACAGTCCTCATATGACCCCGGACAGAGCCACAGATCCAAAGCCAGCACCTAGAATTAAGCCTTGGGTTCAAATTAAGGCTGCGGGGGGTGGTGGTCACACTAGAGCAGTGATTCTCAAACTGGGGTCCCCAGATGTCCTCGGATTGCAACTCCCAGAAATCCCATCAAGCACAGCTATTAGTGAAGGCTTCTGGGAAATGCAACCCAAGAACATTTGGGGATCCCAGTTTGGGAACCACTGCACTACTAGAGGACCCAGTCAGCTACACCCAAACATAACCATTATGTAATGCCAGGGGATATGAAAGTTCATGTTTTTCTCCAGGATTTCACAATCTCGCTGCATTGTAATATGAAAAGAAGCCACCCTAAACATCTATACTGCAAATGCCAGATATTAAGTCAACAGACTGGTGGGCAGGGGACTGTAGATGAAAATGTTTCCTTTTGAAAATGTTTCCTTCTTCATTCTTTTGCACTTGTTGTTACCGTCTTCTCCAACTGCTTTCTAACACACCTCTCATAAGTACTCAGAACACCCCCGCCAAGAGCCTTCATGATACACAGAATACATTTCTCTATTGCAGAATGGCATCCTCATATGTGAATGCCTGTGTGCTCTCATGGAATATCAGAGCACTTGTACTGTCTGCATAATAAAACTTTGCACAGATACATATTCCTGCATATACAAGAGACTTCAGTTTATGTGCAGTCAAATGCCTGCTTGTGTATGCATCAGTCTGCCCCTCTCCATCCTGGTGTTCAGATCTCTCTAAGAAATCTTTACATTTTCCAAGCCAAAGCTATGCTTGCCTCGAAAGAAATACTGACAGGGCTGAAATGTTAATCTGAAGGTTCCTGGACAAAATATTTATAAGGACCCCTGTAGCTTCCGCATTAGATCAGAGCTGTCAGAAAAAGAAATATTGTTCTTTACTTCTGATTATGAACATACCTACACATGCACTTGCAAGAAGTCTCTATTGTGTTGCATTAGCAAGACCTTCAAAGCAAGGAGCAAAGGACTTGGAATTAGGACGTTAGGAACAGAGCAAGGAACCACAATCCAGGAGGATTCGCTTCCCAGGGGAAGGTTTTATAGACAATGCTTAATCTCATGAGCCAGGCAAATGGCTGACTCTGTGATCTGAAACACTCCATTGGAAAGAGAACTTGTTCAATGTGAGACCCTGCCCCTCTTCATCCCCTCTCCCCCAGTCACCCATTCTGGGACACGAATCCACCCCTCCTTCCCTCCCTCCCTCCCTTCCCTCTCTCCTGAAGAGGCATGGGAACAATGATACCTTTTGAGACAAGAGTATGGTCTCTTACCTGCTGGAATTCCTAGCTGCCTAGCCAGGTGAGCAGCTTGAAGGGAGGTAGAGGGGGGAGAGAGACTTTCCCTGCAGGACCTGCAGGAGAAAAAAGCACCCCCTGCCCCCCCAGTTCTCCGAAGAGGCGAGCAGCTTTTTCTCTTTCCAGGCTGGGTTGCTTTGGGACTTCAGGGTGCTTCCATCACTGCCACATTCCCCATGCAGTCCAGGTAGCCAGAGCTGTACAGTCTGTGTCCCGCCTCGCCTTGCCTCGCCTCCCTGGGGGCTGCTGATATTACATAACAGGAGCCGCCCCTGTGCAAGGGGCAGGCAAACCACAGAGCCGGTGGTGGTGGTGGTGGTGGCAGCGGTGGCGGCAGCACGGATGGCCCAAAGGGTTCTTTCCCTCCCACAAGCCTCGCATTGCACCCTGCCTTTCCAAGAAAGCTCACAGAAGGCTCCTCTATCTAAACTTACAGCCCTCAAAGCCTGTGCAGAACAGCCCCGCGCAAAGACACAAGGAGGAAGAATGCTAGAGAGCCTGTAAGCTGGCCTGATGGTACAACATGCACACCCAGATTGACACAAAGAAGCCAGAGACCTGGACAAAACAAAAACAGGGGAGGGAGAGCAGCCAGACTGCAGGACACCGGTGCCTTGCCACGCAACTTACTGGCCTGCAGGAGAATACCTGTTGACATGCTGTGGATATACTTACTGTATTACAGCACTTGTGTAAGTTCACAGCAGAATCTCTCAGTGCAATACTTTGCATGCCAGGTCTATGCTTTTAAAAAACACAGTGACCCACACAACATGCATACAGTATATCAGAGAGGGGAGTCAACTACAAAAGTAAACTTTTTAAAATTTATTTATTTATGTTTACCCTGCCTTTCTCCTTTAAAAGGACCTAAGGCAGCTTACATCATTGAAAGACAATATTTAAATCTGAAAACAATGAGTATACAATGGTGGCTTACATAATTAAAAGACGATATTTAAAGCAAAGGATGCTGAGTATAAAAAGGCAACTTACATCATTAAAAGCCAATAGTAAAGCTAAAAACAATGAGTAACCTCTGTTGCTGGGGGCAGCAACAGAGAAGGCCCTCTTCTGTGTCCCCATCTAACACACCTGTGAAGGTGGCAAGATCAAGAGAAAGACCTCCCCTAATGATGTTAACATCCAAGATGGCTCAAAATGGGAGACACTGTCCTTGAGATAGCTTGGATCCAGGCCATTTAGGGCTTTATAGGTTAAAAACACTACTTTGAATTGTGCCCGGAAATGGATTGGCAGCCAGTGGAGTGTATATGCATGAATGTGGATGGACGGTTATCATATGGACTTTGAGTCCATATGATAACCGTCTTCTGCTGATGGCCGAAGAATTGATGCTTTTGAATTGTGGTGCGTGAGGAGACTCTTGAGAGTCCCCTGGACTGCAAAGAGAACAAACCTATCCATTTTGAAAGAAATCAACCCTGAGTGCTCACTGGAAGGACAGATCCTGAAACTGAGGCTCCAATACTTTGGCCATCTGATGAGAAGAGAAGACTCCCTGGAAAAGCCCCTGATGTTAGGAAAGTGTGAAGGCAAGAGGAGAAGGGGACGACAGAGGACGAGATGGTTGGACAGTGTCATCAAAGCAACCAACATGAATTTGACCCAACTCTGGGAGGCAGTGGAAGACAGGAGGGCCTGGCAAGCTTTGGTCCATGGGGTCACGAAGAGTCGGACACGACTGAACGACTAAACAACAACAACAAATGGCAATTATACTAAGGCTGAAACTACACCGTGTATTCTGAGAGTGTCAGAGGCTGGGCATGATGTCACATGATGAGTATGTTATCACAAAATGTTATTATGTTACTACCCCACCTCTTTTTTATTTTCAAAAAGGTGGTTATGTGCATGTGCAGACATTTGATTGCCACATGCTTCCTTTTGTGCCCAAATCTTTGACTGTGTACATTAAAATAAATGAATACTGTACGTTTAGGATGGGAGGCAGCACTCTCTTTCCAACCCCAATAGAAACCCTTGTATATATACGCACAAGAGACACCTTATAGAAAGGGCAAATTTGTTGCATAATTATTGATTGTGGTGTTTCTTCTGCAAGAGCTCCTGCTCTCTTCCCCCCACCCCCAGTTAGATCACCAAGAGAGCTACCATCTCTTTGAGAGACCACAACAAGCCACAAACCCTGGAAGAGACATCATCCGTGAGGAAACCCCTGTCTTCCATGGTTAAAAAATTTCAGCTATATGATATTAATTACATTTTAAAAAAAGGAATCACACATCTGCATGTGCAAACAGAGGCACAAAGGAGAGAAAAAGAATGTGAAGACATCACAGTGGAGGTGGACATATAGGGAGGAGGAAGAAGGGCTGGCAAATGGGCACCTGGGGATAGAAGGGGCAGACAGACAACGAGCAGGAAAATAAGAGGAGCCATGTGCTTCCTTTTAAAATGGTTTACCGGTTTCTGTTTTTAAAAGGGAGAAATAATTACTATATAGTAGTCATATTGACTGGAACAGAGTTCTGGATATCTGGAAATTCTGTATCTTTAAAATTCCGAATTCCGAATCTGAAAGGCTGTAATTCCAATTCCAAATCCAAATGTTGGTGCTAAGGCACTTCTCTACTGTGTCTGCAAAAATAAATGATAAACCAGAGCAGAAAAGTTTGCGCACCATTTTGAATGCTTGGCAGCATGTGTGATGACATGAGTTGCTCCAGATTTCATCAGTTTTTTTTCTGGGGAGTGTGGTTTTGGCTTAGGGTCCCTTAGCAGTGCAGACATATATGCCCTAATTGCACACCATTCTAATTTCCTAACACTGCCCTCTTCCCCTCCCATCACATTCCTCCATGTACTCACAAGCATTCCTCTGAAGCATTCCTATTGTAGAAGACTCCCAAGGCTTTACAGCTGCTCTTATGCCATTTACCATTCCCACCCATCTCCACCACCCTAAATTTGGGACTAGGACTAGGTTTGCCACAGTTTTTACAAGTCCTAGTCCTGAGCCTTTACTAACTTGGTAATAGTTAAAAATCAAACAAGTGGCTTTTCTCTGTTTCTTTACACTTATATTTACTCAAAAGTTCTCTTTTTTAAAATGGGGGCTTCTTTAAAGCTTTGCAAAACCTCAGGTATAAACATTGACTGGAATTACCCCAATCCACATACTTTCAATTCTTAAAGGTTAGTGTCACAACCTGGCAGATCTCCTTTGATCTGGATTCCTGCATTGAGCAGGGGGTTGGACTTGATGGCCCTATAGGCCCCTTCCAAATTCATGATTTTACAGTTTTGGTTTGTAGATGCTGCATTTTCCATCAGCAATATTTATTTTTCTATATATTGGATATTTTATCTTCAATAACATTTCCCATCATTTAAAGGTGGTCAGATTTTAACTTATTTTGTTCCATTTAAGGAACATCTAAAACAAAACTGGTTTTACATTAGCTGCTTTCCCAATCTTCTGGTACATGAGGACAACATGTGACTTCCCATCTGAACACTATGCCTGGGACACGTACCACACATAATTAGTTATCTGTTAATTTTTAATTTGTCAGTAAAGTACAGAAGTTTATCTGCCACAATTATTTAGCTCAGTTTTCCAGGTTCCTTTTTTAAAAAGTCATATCACGCATAGATATGTAACTGACATTATCTTTATGGAAAAGAGATGCAAAGAGTTCATTCAGCTTTCCTACAATCTTCTGATGCACTTTGAGATGCATCTCCTATCTCTTAGCCTGGATAATTTAGAAAAGTATGTGCTAGTGCATTATGCCAGCATGTTCTAGTGGTTCCCAACCTTGTGTCCCCAGATGTTCTTGGACTACAATTCCCAGATATCCTGGCCAGCACAGCTAGTGGTGAAGGCTTCTGGGAATTTTAGTGTAAGAACATTTGGGGATCCAAGGTGGGGAACCATGGATCTAGATGCTACATGAACAAAGCTGCAGAAGCATACCACTTTAATGCACATAAATCCATGTACGTATGTTGGCAGATATGTGTTAATGTGTTAGTTTGATGACCATGAAAAATGAACGTAGCTTGTCTCCCAAACTGACACCACATTTGAAGCATGCTCTAGACATGTACTAAGTTGGTAGCTATGGCGCACATTTTTGTGTGTGTTTGATCTTATTTTATTTCTTAGTAGACAAATAAAACCACCCAGAGTAGACCTTTGGTCTCAATGGGTGGGACAGAAATCCAATGAATAAATAAATAAATAATAGAGACATTTTATAAACATATGATGTGAAGATTTTTACTATGTTCCTCATGTTCCTCCATACATCTTTTTGTGTGTGTGTACCCATCAAGCAGCTAGCCAGCTACAAAGTGGCCACAAGCCCTGCAGAAGTTGTCCTGCCTCTAAACAATCAAACATGATCTAGACATGAGACGATTGCCCCTCTGCACCTGTGCCACTGCCAGAGTTTAAACCATGTACGATTGTACGTGTTGCCAGTACCTGTAATCTGTGCATAAATATTTAGCAAGAATAAGCACCATTTGTTCTTCTGCTCCCAATGAAATACCTTCAATGAGACAGAGAGGCTGTCCATGCATACAAACAACCCAAGTTTTTACTGGGTATGCGTTTGCGTGTATGTGTCAGAAAGATGCCCTGGTTCCATGCATAAGCAAGATGGCCTCTTGGGGAAGGAGGGGGTCCCTTTGTAGTAGGTAGATAAGAGCAGGGGATATTTGGATGATCAGAATATTTGCTTCCAACACATTTATACTCTACTTCTATTCATTGGACACTTTCTATATAGCTTGCACATGAAAAGGAGGAAAGGAAGAAAAAACTATGAATTTTTTTTTTACTTGGAATCACTACAATTTCTGGTGTGTTAGTCTCTGGCAAGGCAATGTGGCCCATGGCAGGCTGAGCTATGATGTCTTTGACAAGGGCTTTGTAGATCCTCTGCAAAGTGCAGCTGTCTAGATGTTGTTGGACTGCAACTCCCCAAATTATTAATCTTTGGCTATACTAACTAGGGTTAACAGGAACGCCAGTCCAGCAGCAAATGGAGAGCCCTACTGTGCCCACCCTGATTTGTACATTTGCCAACCCAGGAAAAAAGGAGGTGTGCCAGACAGTTTCCCATCTCATAGCACAAAGGGCAAGCCCAACAGTGGTGTATGTGTGGCCTGCTAGATACTAACAAACTTCAGCTCCCATCTGCCTGCAGCTAGTATAGCATATGGCAAAGGATGATGGAACTTGCAGTCCGACAACAGCTAGAGGTGCACATGTTCATAATATCCACAAATCACTTCTGCAGGTGTGTCATTCAGTAGTCTTGACTGAGCAACGTGAGCCATGCAACCATGATGAGAATCACACAATCAATAGTGCAAACAAATTGGACAATGTTGGCTACCTGGGCATAGGATTCAGCCCACTTCCACAGGTGTAACTTTACATTATGACAACTTGAACAGGATTTCAGCCACTATAACATAAACACACACAAACAGA